CTGGCACCATCCTGGGCGGGGTTCGTGAGGCTGGCATTCCGGACACGGAGACAGTAACCAGACAAATAACTGAAGAAAGAGGCGTAGAGAAGACTCTCCCTCACTGCCATTGAGCAGAGTGGAGGCCGACTCACAGCGACCCTCTAGAGCAGGGTAGAAATGCCCGTCAGGGGTCCCCAGACCGATGCTTTGCAGAAGCAGAAAGCCCTCTTTCTCCTGCGTGGGGAGAACTAAGCTAGGGAAATGGGCAGGGGCCAGTTTGCAACGTGAAGGACCTGCAGGAAGTAAGGGAGACTGCTGTGGCCAGAGGGACGGCGAGGTCAAAGGCCCTGAGGCCGGCCCTGGGCTGGGGAGGGGCTGCACCTGGGTACCATGGGGCTTGGGATGTGGGCGGAGAGGAGGGTGGGGAGCCTGCCTCCTGGATGGAGAGGGAGAGATGTGGCAATCTTGCCATGACCACCTTGTGGGCCACATGACATGGGAAGGACCTAGAGATAAAAAGGGGTGCTGTGGTGGTTGGCGGCTCCCCAACCCCCTCACACCCCGTCTTGCCCTCAGGGAACACGATGACCGTGTCCTACATGACCGGGCTGACCCTGGGCTCCGCAGTGGCCTACTGCACCTATAGCCTCACACGGGATGCTCCCAGCAGCTGCTTCCGCACGGACACCACCAACGGCTCCCTTCCCGACAGCCTGTGAGCAGCTGGGCCTGGACTCCACCCCCTCCGGAGCCAAGGGCCCCTCCTGACCCCGCCTGCAGTGCCTGTCGGGGGCCTGGTCTCTTTGTGCCAATTACCACACCCACACCAGCCCCAGGGCTCTGCCCAGCACCCTTGTCTACCTTCCCATCTCCAGCTGCCCTTCACGTGCTGTCTGCAAACCTTGGCCCCCACTGTACCCCAGCCAGCCTCTAAGAGGGTCAGAACCCCAGACAGCCCCACCCAGCAGCCGGCGGTCCTACAGGTTCCCACCTAGTGACTCCCCTAGGCTCTGATCTTGAGGGCCCACTGGTCATGGCCCCCTTCACTGGGACACCCCCCCCTCCTGGGCCCTCTGCTGGGAAGAGTCCCTGCCCCAAGGGCCCCACAGCCTGAAGCCCCTGCTTTGATATTCCAGTTCTCCCAAAATACCATCCTAAAGGGATCCATCCGCACCCTAGATCTAAACGCAGCCAGACGGTAGTTACGTGTCCTGGGCTCGCCCACCCTGACTGCCTGCACCCAGAGCTCCCAGCACCTGAGGCCACAGGGCTGGGGGACCCCAGATATAGTGTGGGAGGACAGAGGGTTTTCCTCCCTGCAAGGAGATGTGTAACAGGTAGGGGGCTGGACTTGCCCCTCCTCCTGGCCCAGGTGGGGAAGGCTGGCTTCTCGGGTATATCCTGCTCTGGTCTGTCCTGTCCATCTGTCTGTCCACTCACTGAACCGCACTGGCCATTAAAGATGACGGCCTTGGGGCCGCCCCACTGCTGCCTCCAGTGTCCTCACTCTGCTGGGGATGCCTCCCCAAGGCCTCATTCTGGCCCCCTTGTGAAGTGTCCCAGACCCCTGGGAAGGGGAGGCGGGGGCGGGGGCAGGGTGGGAAAGTGAAGCCATTTGACCTTCTCTCAGCTGGTGGAGAATGGCCCCTGGGTCCACTTGAAAGCAAGACCACTGGCCAGGGCCACCTGCCTTCTAGGACTCAAGTTTCCCCAGTGGGGTCAGTCCACCCAGGTTCGCCTTAGTGGGGATCCCTTGGAGAAAGATTTGAAGGCTGTGCCCAGCTAGGGCAGAGAGGGCGGCTGGACGTCCGATGGGGCCTCCTGCCCACAGCCTCCACCCCTGAACCTCATAGCACCGACCCCCAGGGTCTACCACATGGTGATACCTGAGGTGGCTGCAGGGTGACACCGGTCTGCGTGATCTGGGTGTGGGCGATTGGTGCTAGTCTGGGAGCCCCCGCTGACCGGTCCCCATCCCCAGCCAGGACCGAACTCGTGCCAGCCGAGTGGACTCCTCTGTGCAAAGAAACCTGGGTCTGAGGCGCACCACCTGGCTCCGGCCACACGGGGCAGCCTCCACCCCCGCAGGGGCAAGGCCAACCTCCCCTCCCCCAAGAGAGGCAATGGCCCGCCCCCTGGGGCAGAGAGCAGACTGCAGCTCCAGCCCCGCCTGGGCCATCTCAGGACCAGGACCCACGGCCACCAGCAAGGCTGCCCCCACACCCAGGGGGCCCCAGGGCACTGGCGGGGTCCACATGCCCTCTTCGGAGAACACCCTTCCTTTCTAAGCCTGTGCCAATTCTTAAGGAGCTCTGGTGCTGTAGTAGTTACACATTGGGCTGCTAACCTCAAGGCCGGCAGTTCAAAACCACCAAACTCCTCAGCGGGAGAGGCAGCTTTCTACTCCTGTAACCCCTGGGGCTAGTTCCACCCTGTCCTGTAGGGTCACTGAGTCGGAATCACATCAATGGCAGCGTTTGGAGAGTTTCTTGGGGGGGGGGGGTACCACCCCTCTGGCATAGAGGTGCATACTTAATACTCCATCACTGACCACATGGCTGGAGGATAGAAAGGCCTGGCATTCTATTTCTGGGCGAAAGGGGGAGGGGGGCCACCAAAGCCCCGAGGGGTGCGGCTGGCCTCTCACACATGGATTGAGTCTGACGCAGTGGGGGGATGTCCTAGAAGCTCGCCGCGGCCCATCAGTCACCAGGAGCCACAAGTGGCTGGCGACGGTGGTGGTTTGCCGAAAAGCGGGCAAGCCGAACCCACCCCATGCGAGGGCCCTAGCCACTGGCTTCGGCAATGTTTACAGGTTGGCAGCCGCACCGGTGGGGTTTCCAGAGCCCCAAACCACCAACAGAGAGCCAGTCACGAGGACGCAGCTGGAACGAGACCAAGGAACGGAATCTCTCTGCGGCTCTTGGCCGTCTGCCAGCCTCCACTCACAGCCCGAGCACCACAAGCTCGACCCCGGTGATCCACGGCGTTTCTCACAGTTCATCTTCACCAGCCTCCCGCCCAGGCCATTCCTCCTAGTCTGTGGGCATCAGAGCCGCCCACAGGCAAACAGGTGCACAGGGAGGAGGTGAACTCCGGTCCCCCACACAGCAGGGCCGCTTTCTACCACCAACCCAGAAGGGCACGGGGCATCATGGCTGTTGGTGCCGACTCACAGGCGACCCCTGTGTGCCAGAGCAGAGCTGCGCTCCAAAGAGCTGATTTTTGTGAGAGGCCAGTCCTTTCTGACGCACGTCGGGGAACCCGCCTGAAACCCGTTCAGCGCCACAGCCACACACAAGCCTCTACAGACAGGCAGGGGTGGCGGCGATGTGCAAAGATCACGGGTCGCTCACGACTATGGGGTTGGTTCCAACTCAGCGACCCTATAGAACATGGTAGTTTTGAACTGCTGACCTTGCAGCTAGTAGCCCAAAGCATAACCACTACGCTACCAGGGCCTCTCCAGAACCAAACCCATGGCCCCTGAGTTAGTTAATTGTGCCAGCCTGACCGATAATCACATGTGGGGCTAATTGAAAAGCGGAGGGATAAATGGGTGGTGAGCCTCGCCTTTCTAGTTCTCGGGTCTCTTGCTTTGTGATGGTCACACCAGGGTGCAGCTGCCTTAGCAGTTCCCTGCTTCAGCTTGCAAGATTGACTTCCTACAAGACATCCCCAAAGAGAAGCTACATGGACCTATCCCGATGTAGCCCTGGATGCTGGAGCAGCCGTGTGGAGACCCCTGCTAGTGCTGAGATGCTTGTTCGTTCACTGACTCAGCTTTCCTCCTGCAGTCAGCATCATTGCCTCTGTTTTGTGAGGTGGAGGACTTTGTGGACTGGTGTTGGGTTGATGGGTTAATGTTGGACTTGTGGGCTTGGGTAGCATTGGGTTGGGATGTTTTCGTGATGCACATTTTCTGTACATAAAACTCTCTCTTGTACATGAGTTGCTGTGGATTTGTTTCTCCAAAGTACCTAGACTAATACAGCCCCCAAGTCAGTGCAGACTCACAGCACCCCCGGGGGGGCAGAGCAGCGCAGCGCAGCTCCACGCGTCTCTGTGGGGGCCATCCCTCCGGGAGCAGAAGCAGGGCAGCCCCGTCCTTTTCCTCTGGAGCCGACGGTGGGTTCCAGCCGCTGGCCTTTTCAGGAGAAGCCCCGGCGATTCACCCCCTGCCAGCACAAGGGCTCCCCAGAGCAGCCACTCAGTGCCCCTGCCCACGATGTCAGCCGGCAAGAGCCACTGAGCCCCCACCGGACCTGAAATGAGCCACTCTGACAACAGTCCTTTTCCAATGAAATCTTTTTTTTTTTCTTTTTCTTTTTTCTGTAAAAAGATCACACAGAATTCGCCAACAAACAAAATTCCAAAAGAAACTTAAAAAAAAAAAGACAAACGAAAACAATAATTCCCCCAAAAAACAAATCCGAAGTCTGGCTTTTCCTTCCCTCAAGATTGTCTGGGCTGGCGTTCCTGTCCCCTGGGAGGCGGGAGGCAGGGGGGCTAAGTGCTGAGTCGGGGGAGGAGCGGAGGGCAGACATAGCTGGGCCCCTCCCTCCCCTCGCTCACACCTCCTTTCGGCTGTCCTAGCTCCTTACCCATCGTCAGGGGGCACATACAGCACGGGGCGGGCACAAGGGCCTGGGGCGGGGGCAGGCGGGCCGGGCAGGGTGTGCATGGGGGCGCGGGGTAACAGGGGTCCGTGACGCCGGCTTCTTGGCACTCACAAGCTAATCGGAAATAAAAAATAACGTTCTGCACACCAGAAAGTGTTTTGCTTTTTAGAATTTCATAGCTATTTTTTCACAGTTTTAAAAAGTTTATATTTATATATCTTTATCTTTATATATATAATTAAAAAGTTGACTCCATTTAAAGGCGTATGATACAGGGGGTGGGGTCAGAGTCTCTGGGTACGATAAAACTGTACAGGCTAAGAAGTGCCTCCTCCAGGATTGGGGGTGGGGTGGGGGGTTGGCAAGCCTGGCAGAGGCCGGGACAAGGGTTTCAGCACCATTGGGGGTTTTCTGTAGTGTGAGGGTCAGGGCCTGCGCTGTGCAGCCCGCGCCTGGCCTCTACCTGGTGCCATGCCCATGCCCTTGCCTGGCTTCCTTCCCCAAGTTCCACGCCATCCTGAGGATGGAGGCCTGGGCTCCTGGCAGGGCACCCAGGAGCTGGCCTGGCACCATTGGTGAGGCTGGCTGGCGCTGAGCGGGGGGGGCCCCCCACTTGGGGCTGGAGACCTTGGGCTGGGCTCTGGGCTGAGGTGGCCGCACCCTGGTAGCGCCGGGAGGGCCCAAGGCAGGGTGGAATACTCCAGAGCCTCCGTTTGGTTCCCTGGAAACCTCCTGCCCACGGCGCTCCCCAGCCTGAGTCCGGCAGGCTCAGCTGGCGTGGAGGTGGGGCACCTGGGGTCCACGCAGCAGCCTGGGGGCCTGGAGGGTCAAGTGCTGACTGAGGAGGCGCTGGGCGGCCTGAGGGGGGTGGACAGAGCTATACCCTGATGGTTGGGAGGAGCCCCTGCCTGGGGGGCACCAAGGAGGTGGGGGTGGGGTCTGGAGGTGCGTGTACACGTGTGCACACACGTGCATGCATACGGGCACACACATGTACACACCGCCCTTGTCCCCGTGGGCGCACATGCACGCCACGGGCACACTGCACGCGCTTGGCCGTGGCAGTGATGAGAGAAGTCCCCGGGGCCGTGGGGGCAAGGCAGCTGGCAGAGCCCTTGGTGGGCAGCTGGGGCTCAGCAGAGCACCGGCACCCCATCGGTGGAGAAAATCATGCCCGTGGCGGGCTCGTAGGTGCCCGCGAGGTAGTACAGGCCCTCGCTGTCCTGGTACTTCTTGGTCTTGAGCATCTGCTCGTACTGCTCCAGGGCCACCACCAGGCACTTGTGCGACACTGTCTGCACGTCGTTCTCGTCCACGTGCGACGACTGGTACAGGGCACGCTGCGGGCGGGCAGGGCCACAGGGCGGGGCGGTCAGGGGAGGGAAAGACACAGCCCCCCTCCGGGAGAAGCAGCAGCCACCCAGAGAGGGCGGCGCTTGGTGACCAGGAGAACCCGAGAGCGAAGAGAACAGGAGACAGAGACCAAGAGAGACGAGAGACCAGGGGAGAGAAAGATGAGACCAGGGGAGAGAGAGCAGGGGGGAGAAAGATGGAGAGAGACCCAGAGAGACATCAGAGACCAGGGGAGACAGAGATGAAGGCTGAGCAACAGCATCTGGGGAGACAGGTCCACTCGGGGGTGGGGTGGGCTGAGCAGGGCACAGCAGACATGCTCTCAGACACCCCCCCGCCCCCAGACAATGTTCAGGAGGGAATGGAGCCCCTCTTCCCAGCCATCCACCCACCCCTACCCGCTGTGGCCCTACCTCCATGAAGTCCTTCCTCTGGCTGGAGGCCTGCAGGGCAGCAGGGAGGCTCCGCCCAGACTTCTGGTCCCAGGGCTGCCCGAGAGACGGGACGGGGCTGAGTGGGGCTGGCCACAGCTCCCAGAACCCTGACCCGGAAGTCCTCCCTGGTCAGCCGGCTCACCTGGCCTTCGTGGAACTGCTTCCCGGGGCTGGTCTCCTCGGGGTGGTAGAACCACTTGACACGGACCACCATGTTGCTCCCCCACGACTCCCACATGCTCTGGATGCGGCCGATGTAGGGCAGGTTGGGCCGGCCGGCCGACAGGAAGACCGCGCAGTCCCCGATCCGGATCATCTCCTTGCCCCGCACAATGGCCTTGTAGAAGAGCTTCCGGGCCTTGCCCTTCATGCCACGCCGCTGTGGGAGGGCACGGTCAGCATAGGCAGCGCTGTGCCCCGGCCTCCACCCAGGCAGGCCCCGCCTCCTGGGACCCCTTCACCGTGGCCTGAGTCACCTCTCCCAACTCTGGAGGCTCCTGGCTACCATTACTGAACGTTTTGATCACAGGTGCTACAGCAAGACACTGATCAGAAGCGGGAAATGGAACAGAATGTCAAATTCATATGGAATTCAGACTTACTGGATCCATGGAAGCTGGGTGAACCCCAGACATGTTTGCCCTGAGATCATCTTCAACCTAAAACTAAGGGAGCTGCTGAAACAGGGGTGCCTTAACTTGTAGACCCCGGTTTTTCTTGAACTTTCTGGCTAAGTCATACACGAAACGTCTAGAGCAGTGGTTCTCAACCTTCCTCACGCCGAGACCCTTTCAGACGGCTCCTCATGTGGTGGTGACCCCCCAACCGTAACATGATTTTCATTGCTACTCCATCCCTGTCATTTTGCTGTTATGAATCAGGCGACCCCTAAGAAAGGGTCATCTGACAACCAAAGGGGTCGCGACCCACAAGTTGAAAACCGCTGATCTAGAGGAATTTTACCAAGACCCCTAAAGTGTACGGACCCAACGCCCAGTGCACAGACCCGCACTCGACGTCCCCCGTGTCGGAGCACGACTGTACCCAAAGGAGTTCGGGTGGCTGCTTTTACTTTTCTCCCCAGGCCCCGGGGCCTCAACGCTCCAACCTTTCTGTGAGCCGCTGAGAATATTAAACATCCGCGCACCCACCCGGGAGGTCACTGCAACCCCACCTTACAGGCCAGGGAGCAGGGAGGAGGTGGAGTGGGAGCTCCACCACACCTGCCCTGGGGTCAGCTTACAGCCCTCACAACATCCACATCAGCACTCCACGCAGCAGACTCTGGGCAGGGCTGCCCACGTGACGAGTAAGCTCCACCAAGAGTGGACCCTGTCCCAGATGGCGACGCTGACAAGGTCAGCAGTCAACCCCACCAGCCGCTCCGTGGGGGAACTAGAAGGCTGACAGTCTCTGAAACCCACGGGGCAGTCCCCCGTCCTAGAGGAAGCAGCTGAAAAGAGGCTGTGAGAATGGACGCTCAGCGTGGCCTTCGAGGGCAGTGGCCTGGGCTGGCCTGGCAGAGAGGGGCTCCCCTGGCCTGTGCCCACAATCCGGCAGGGCATGGGGTCACTGTTACAGCAGCCCCTGCAAACCAACAGGAGTCCTTAGCTGGTTGCTAAGGGTCGCAGGCTCGGTTGGCAGTCGGAATCCACCCGGAGGCCTCTGAAGAGGCCTGGGCATCCAAGCCTGCTGGGCATGGTTCTACGCAGCCCAAGTGAGAAGGCAAACGGATGTGACAGTCTCTGCTCATGGCCCGCTGGCTCCCCCAGGGCGGTTGGCATCTCAGTGTGTGCGTCTGTAAAATGGGGCTTCCCTGGCTCCCACCCTTCCACGCGCCCTGGGTACCTGTGTGGGCTTGCCGAACCACTTCCAGAGCTGCCGGGCCGGCAGGAAGGCAGCAATCTTGGGCCGGTTCTCCACGGATGGCAGGCGCTGGCGCTTGGCCAGCTCCTTGGTGGTGGGGAGGTGAACACCCTCCCTCTTTTTGGGCCGGCTCTTG